TCATTAAGTAAGATTGAGTTCTAATACGTCATAATCCGATTATTAGATTAGTTAGATTCAGGGCGTTCCGTCCTATTTATTAATTTATTTGAGCACTGTACATGACTTTTTTTTCTTTTTTTTTCTTCGATTTCTTCATTTAACATATTCGATTTGAGTTATTACTTTATTGACCGGTTTTTATGAACAATTTCAAATTTCCCGAAGTTAGACACAAGTTGATAGTTGAAAAAAAAATCTAACTCTAAATCCATACAGCTAAAAATGTTCCATTAAAAAAAAATCCGCCATGATAGAGTTCATTATAGTACCATTTGTATGATGTTAGCGACTTTTCTTAACTTTTTTTTTCCTTCCCCGAACCTGAAATTCAATATCACGAAGTAAAATTGAACGGACAGGGGGAGGATCGAAAAGTTCAAAAAATGTCTTTCTGATTGACGGTGCTTGTCAGCTTCTTAATCCCGATTTGAAAGAGATTCGTTGTGCTTGCTTCGGACAGAGTATTTTTTTTCTGTCTCTCTTTGGGGAAAGAAGTTTGTTTTTAAGTCTGACTTCGAGCTACATCCCATCCTTTATTACTGTTATTGCTCTTATTTGTGTATTACTTAATATTAGAAATTTATGAAAGTTGACATCGTTACTTAGCTTACGTAATGATAACGAAATCTTAATAATTAATTACCATCAGACAATAACAATCCTTCATTAGATTTGTTTTACTCTAAGAAAAAACAATAGCACAAATATATGCAGTTTTTTTCTTTTTACATCAGCAGTATCATCTTTCGTAGTTCTACTAACTATAAATGCGTAAATTTTTTTAGTATACGCTACATCGAGCCATTTATCTCACTTTAGTTTATCATTGTTGATGAACTTCTTATCCAAGTTGTAGATTTAAAGTAATAAACTTTACTTCCGTTACCATGCAATTTTGAATTCACTTCAGAAGAGAGAAAAACTACCTTGTTAAGTATCAAACGGATTTTTTAAGTAAAACTATCATGCATATACATTTCTATTACATGGGCAGGCAAGAAAATCTCTTATAGTTTTTCCTAAGGCAATGACTCTCACCCAGGGAATGTATTAAGAATACTGTGATTGGTGCAGGCTAGAGACAGTTAAAAATGAAACAGCTATTACCGGAATTCGAACCAGAGTCCGGAGAGAGAGGTCGGATGATTCAGTCTGACTTTTATATTATTTAAAAGAGTTTGTCATTACTGGTGCTAAGGTGATATTGGAATTTCGATATTGAGATTTCTGACTACAAGAAAAATCGATGTCTCACGGTGTATCGGGGATTTTTTCCAAGTTAAATAATTTACATTATTTTTGCTTGGGTTAATAGTATCGTTACTCATAGGAAATTTATCAACACTTACGGTAATATCGTATTCGATAATTATCCTTACAAATTATTATCATGATCTTATTGTTATCGACAAGTGTAGCTATCGATTTTTTTCGCATTTTTGATATTCATCGCGAGACATAATATTCACGTTAAAGCATCAGCATATTATTTAACTATTAAAACTATATTTAGGTATATAAAGCTTAGATCTGGTCAGTATCTGTTACTTTAAGCTGCTGGTAAAACATGCTGAAGCAATCACTTATAGCTCAAGGGTATCCTTTCATCTTATTTTATTTATTTATTGATTTTTCGAGACACTGATTTTTCTGAAGAACAAGTTGAGATATCAACAACAAGCTCAAAGTTAGTTGAACCAATATTTAAAATTACAAATAAAGTTACAAGATAAGAAGAAACATAAATAACCTAAATAACTTTTTTAAACATCATGTAGGACTAAACATTAAATATTTCCAATATTATTTTTTCTATTATACGTATTTATTTGTAAACAGTTTAAAAATGAATCATATCACACCAATGGTATACGCTATCGTTCTATTTTTGGTGTGCAAATGTTTACTTACTTTTTATAGTCGAACCGAACTTGCACAGTTAAGAAAAATTCCGATTGAAACGCCCAGTACAGATGAATGTCTATCTTAATCCCTAAGAAATTGGAAATACAAAAAAGAGAATAACATGTTTTCTTATTTCTAAAAAGCCCTTTCAGAAATAGGCACCCGACCTTCCTAACAGACACACATTACAAGATTACTTTTCTCCTTTTCAGGATTCTGCTACGGAAATGCTCTTAATCCTGTAATATATGAATAAATGTACCCGGTGTCCCCGCGATTTGTTTTGTATTTCTCAGCTACACCCCTCTAACATTCACCCTATGAACAAGTTTTCCAGAAATCGATGCTTTTTCCTTACCCTTTTGGAAAAATTCTGATGTTTTGTATTTTGCCCTTTCCAAAAGAGGATTAAGAACTAACTAAAAATATTGGGAATTGCCACCCAACCCTTCTGGGAGTTAGAAAGTGGTATTTATTTAGCTTTACTCACAATGTATATTATTGACCCATTGACCATAGTGCGACCCCTTCCAATATAAAACCCGAAAAAGAAGTAGTCGAGTGGAAATAAAATTCTATTTTATGCAGATATTTTCATTGTTGGTGAATTATGAGCTTTTTACAGTGGTTGATAGTGGATTATCTTTTAGTTTTGCATAAAAATGAAACCATCGATCAAAAGACTTGAATTATTTTTACTTCGAATTTGTGAAATAGAAATTGTGGAAGAAAATGATTCAGTTGGGGTGTCTCATGTAGGGAAAAAAGAAAGATGGAGCGGAAAAAATATTTTTCCAGATTTTAGTTAGGAAAAAATATTTTTCCAAATTTTATTTTGGTATAATATAATAAATAAAAAAAAAAAACTCCAAATTTCGTTATGGTGCCCCTGAAAGAGCGGCCACAAATCTGCCCTATTAATATCTGAATGACGAGTGTCAAGTAGGCATTGGGGAAAAAAATGGAAAAATATATTGTTAAGTGTCTTATATGACATTTTCTTTTTATTTATTATTTGAGAAAACTATAATCCAGCTAATTAATAATAATTATTGAAGCAGATTTCATGAGTAAATTAAGAAGAAAAATTAAACTTGTAGAGTCTGTATTTTCATAAACAGGACTTGGTAGAATCTGTTTTTTTTTCTAATTGCAAAAAGCAAATATTAAGAATATAAAATTAAAATTATAATTTTTCACTTAGATTTTTTAAAGTCATAAAATACTTAGACCCTCAAAACTATTAGTTATGCTGATTTACTTTTAAATTTATTGAATAAAGAGTAAAGCAATCCATAAGAAGCTATCTCCCACTTGTCTACATAGCGGCGTAAGACGCATAATTAAATATAAGTACAAAAATTGTACTTTTTATTCGTGTGTGTGTGTTTCATATGGCTTTATTAGGAATTCAATCCAGAAAATTTGACAGCTCACTGCATCGCAAAGGACCAGAAAAATAACAAAGAAACAATTCAACAATTTAGGTAAAGCTTTTATACGTACGTTTAAGCTTTTTATATGTACTTATGTAGAAATTGTGGTTTCATAGGAAAAAAAGCATTTAGCGTTTAACATTCCTTACACCTGAATATGCAATATTAAGGTACTTATGAAGATATTGGTTTCACTAAAAATGTATAAATAATATTAAGAAAAAACTGAAATTTTATCATTTTCATTTTAAAAATGAATTTTAGTGACCTAAATTCAGTATTTTTATTTAATGTGGTAGCTAAGAAAAAAATATCCTATTAATTTAAACATATTGTTAATTGTATTGCTACTATTGTATTAATTGTATTGCTACTTTCCTCAATGGAGCTCTTTTATAGCTTCAAGGCTTCAGGTTTTAGAAAATTAACATCACATTTAACGTTCAAAGTACTGATATTATGATTCAACTTTAAACTATTTTCGTTCTTCCGAATATACATAAAGCCGTGAACTTAAATATTATAGTCGTAAAAAAGAGCATTTTTTTGAGTTTTATATTAAGAAATAAACCATAGATTATAATTTTTTTTTCACACCATACTTTTTGCGACATTTTTTTTCTTCAAGTTTCTAGAAACTTCGTTTACCGACTTTGCTCTCATATTTTACTTAATGAATTTGTCATACAATAATTTACATATTCTTCGAGATCTTTTAGTGCGCATTTCAGAAATGGTGTTGGATGAGTTTTTTCATTTTATAACCGGCGTTGATCAGTCAACCCAATTCTGAATTTATGACCATTAAAGTTAAATTCCGTAGCCTTGTAATTTTGAATCCAATCCAGAACACAACGGAAACTTTTGGATCAAGCATTAGGACAAACTAGCCTTCACGGAGGAATGTTTTGATGGTACTAGCATTTGCGTTAAATGGAGAGGAAAACCATGGAAACCTCCCACGGTTAGCCCAACGACGAGGGGTTTCTAATCAGTGATCCGTCTACCATTGATGATATCTTATGATATCACTGTGAACGATGCGAGCCGGGAGCAGAAGTTGTATCAACCAGCTACCGCTGGGTCTCGAGCCTGGGTACTTAATTGGGAGGAGAACGCTCTATCCCCTGAGCCACCTCACTGTTAATCGCTAAGGTCGATCTAAAATTGATGTCGGTGCATGATGCATCATAATTGAAATCATTACGATTAGTATCAGAGATCACCATAAAAATCAAAAAGGGTTGGATGCTTTTCAAAAACAAAAGCCCCTTCAATTTTGATGAAAGGGCACCGATCAGGCTAAAAAATACATTATTACACTTGAATTGAAAATACTAAAATAAATTTAAGAAATAATAATATTTAATACTGACTTAGCCTGAAATTAAATTGCAGTTATAGCAATCTGCTGTTCCTGGTTTCTATTACTAAAAAGAGATGCATCTTTTTCTTATGACAAAAAGAATAATAAAAAAAAAAAGAATAAAAAGACAGTTTTTTTTAACAAAGTGATTGGGGCAGGTTTTTTTCATAAAGGGTAAAGAAGAGTGCATTTATCTCAGTGAAAGGGCATGCGGAGTAGACCACCCTTCTAAAAACAATAAGAGACAACTATGCCAGAGAAATGTTTTATTTTTATTTCACTAAGAAGAACATTCAGGAACTACGTCATAAACAAGATCACTTTGACCTTTATTTATTTATTTTAATCTATTCTTCAACGAGGAATGAACTGTTTCGTCAGCAATAGCCGTCGCTGACGATATGTCCCAAACAGGACCATTTCCCGCAGTAACGATAAAAATATTTGGAGATATTTTTTGTGAAACAGTTTCTCTGCAGTAGCATAACTCATCACCAACAGGATCAATTACTGATATTTGGAGTTATTTCTTTGTGAGCTGAGTAGTTTTGCAGAGGTAGTCTATAAAGATATGTCACCAATAGGATTAATTAATGATATGTGGAGTTATTTCCTTGTGAACTGAGCAGTTTTGTTGGGATAGGCTTCGAAGATATGTCACAAACAGTATCGATTACTGTTATTCAAAGTTATTTCTTTGTGAGCTGAGTAGTTTTGCTGAGGTAATCTCTAAAATATGTCAACAACAGGATCAGTTACTGATATTTGGAGTTATTTCTTTGTGAGCTGAGCAGTTTTGTTGCGATAGGCTTTGAAGAAATGTCACCAACAGCACCAATTACTGATATTTGAAGTATTTCTTTGCGAACTGAGCAGTTTTGCTGTGTTAGTCTTTAAAGATACGTAACAAACAGGACAAATTTTTACTTTACTTAAAGATATTTGGAGCTATTTTTAGTGAGTCTTTTCTCAGAACAGGCTTACTTTCTAAGTTATTTAGGAAGTTCAGAGCTATTCTTTCATGAGCAGTTTCGCTTGCAGTGAAACTGCTCATCAATGAAAAATTCAAAAGAGTTTAACTATTGTTTATCTTCTTTCAGGATTTCCGTATATTGTGTTTTTTCCACATTGTCGGAGCCGCAAATATCGCATCTCACCTTTTCTGTAGAAACTAATTGACTTCATTTGTAGTTTTTAACTAATTCTAATTGAGAATGAGTCTTAAGTGTTTGATAACCTAATTTAGAAAGAAAAAAATAAAGATTCCAAAATTTCTTCGATATTTCTAGAGTAAATTCTTCGCTGTAACCTGCAAGCGACATGAACTACTACAGCAGCATACGCCAGTGACGGGTTTAATATTAGTGAGTAGATGTCGGAATCCCACTGAATTAATTTGAGAAATGCTACGCAGTTGTGACCTCCTTTACCCATTATCGATTGAAATTCACAGCAGTTAAAACTATTCCATCGAAATATAACGCTTTTCTTATATTCCAGATGCATTTTGAAACTTTTCAAATCGATAGAACATCTGCGTAATTTTAAACACTGACACAGCAACAGATATATCAAAAATATCAATGCCAAAATGAACAAATACGGAAAATGTTTGATGTTTAACGTGAACAAAAGAATAGACAAAATAATAGCAGATGCAAGACAAACATATAACCAAATATATCCAAACATATATTCACAGAATTGCAACAAAATGGCAAAAATTGAATTCCTCTGTGTCATCAGTAACAGATCTTCTTCACTGCTGTTGGGAATTATCTTTAAGGAGTTTTGGTTCTTTTCTAATCTCAGTCTCTTGTCTATATCCGACAATTTTTCTTCAATTTTTTTCAAAAAGCAGTTCACATGAATATTAAAATTCCAAGTATCGGAGAATGAATCATATTTTAAGAAAGATGATGCAGTTATTGCAATTATGATGCTTATTACAACAAACAGAATATAGAGAAGGAGTCCCGGTATACAAACAACATAATATTCTTCCCTGATGCTTTCAGTTACACAAAGCACGAGAAAGAATGTTGCCCAAAGGCATGGCAATCGAGAAGGATTGAATTGTGGCAAAATTTGTTTTCTAAGATTGTTGAAGCATTTCAAGACAATTTCAAATTCTTCTGACCATTTGTTATATTGAGATAAGAAATTATCTCTCTTGGATGGGAAAGAATCGACATGTTTAAGGTCTTCAATGAAACATAGAATCAAATAACTCTTATCTATCATCGCCATTTCTTTTTGGGAACAGCTGTTGCCCGAGTGCTTTGTTATTCCACTATAGAATTATAAAACAGAAACAGTAAAAATCCACTTTGCAACTGCAAATTTTTCTCAGCGTATCATACATTGATTTCTGCTTCTGTAAATGTTTTGCAAAGGAGGAACAAATGAGAGGATTTTTAGAGATAACACACTAGGTTGCTGAAATAAAAAAATAAAATAAAAATCCATGTTTTTTTTTTATTAATAAAATTTGCTGAATTTAAAAATATTTGTGTTAGTTCTGTCACTGTTCAGTAAGTTCAGTTAAGATTATTTCTTCTTCAGATTTTTTTAAAGTCATTTTATTTTTACACTGAGCTCATCAATACACATTCTGACACATATTTCACGCATCGGATTTGAGTTTCTCTCCTCGAAAATTTTATCAAGGAAGAAAACACTCCTCTTTAAATCTTATATTAAAATTTTTGCGAAAGATGTTTTGCAACTTAAAAGAGAATAAAATCTAGAAAGTGAGTTTTTCTTGGGAATGGACGTTTGGCTGTGTCCTTTAAAGATTGCAGAGTGAGAAATCTTTTTTTTTTCTTTTCATCTCACCAATGAAGGTAGCAATTGTAATATGAATTTCAAACAACCTGTAATGTTGTGGTAAAAAACAATATTTTATTAACCTTTTTCAGAAATCGTAATCTAATAAACCAGTAAAAAGTGTAGAAAAATTGGAAATAATGAGTTTAAGAATGAGGATAAATGTTCAATCAATATTTCTAGTTGTAGTTTATTCACGTCGCCCTAGAACTGCACAATGGCTATTGGCGACTGTCTGAGGACAATGCTTCTAGAGAGTGTTTACTTTTCATAACATATGTGTTAGTTGTAATATAATCGAAGTTATAAAGTTTCTACAGTTATACAATTACTTACTGTGCAATAATTATTGCGTCATAAAATGGCGATTGTTTTGAGGTTTACTCCTTTATTTAAAATTTCTTTTCTCAGAACCTAATGGAGAAGTAAAATTACTTTTTCTTTTTAGAAAACTCTGCTTTTATTTTTTCTCAATAGATGGGATATCGTAGTTAGTATGTTAGCATTTCATTCATCTAACTGACCAATGAAAACTGGCCGTGTTATACTTATCGCATTGATTTTATTTACTAGCACGGTAATAAGAATATTCATAATCATTGCATTATAAGCTAGATTTTTGTTAATCCTATGTAATACCGTATTGACGCTCCACTAGAGAAATAAAAAAAATATAATCTGGAGCAAATTAGTGCAGTTTATATGGTCAAAAGGGGTGTCAAACGTGTAGGCAGGTTGGTACAACTATTGCAAAATGGTCCGAAAACCATGGAAAGATGTCTGATTGGGCGAATCCAAAGTTATGATTGACAATACTCCGCTGACTGCTTCAGTGACGGATAATTCTATTTCCATGTGATATCATACACTCATAGTCTTCGTTTATTTTTATTAAAAATTAAGGAATTCTAACCGTACCTTTTAAATTACCGTAACAGATTATAATTTCCATTGTCACGAGAGTTAACCAAAAGTTTAGTAACAGAAAAGAAAAGTGTGAAAAAGTTTTAAGGTATAAAAAATTTTTTTTTAAATTTTTTAAAATTAAAATATGCTTAAGTGCAATTATGTTGATACTTACGATTGAGAGTTGGCAATTTTGGATCTAAGACATGTGTTATTCGCAAGCAAGTGGACACGGTTTCATTTGTTTTAAAGAGTTCTAATCAAAGGTTGATTCATTTCGTATGGTTTATTTTGATATTTCTTTAAACAATTATGCATTGATTGTGATAACATTGTTTTTCCCTGATTATAAATGCAGTATCACGTTCTTTTTTTACCATTCTCTTAAAATATAATGCTTTCTGATATGTTTAATTAGATAATTCAAGATATAATTTCTGCTTAACTTTATCTTAGTTTAGTTTTCCATTTACTCCGTAGAGATAAAAATAAAGCAATTTTAATGTGAAAAAACTTGTTATTTGTATCAATAAACTTCAGTATTCAGGGACATTAATTTATTTCATGTGATTTCAAAAGTTCTTGCCCAATATAGGGCCGAATAAAACGAAATACAAATACATTTTTAAATAAAAAGAATTTTTTATCAAATACGTAATGTCCACCATTTTCCTTTACTGTCTCAAAATATTTTCATTAAAATAAGTATTTATTCATCAGTTATATATTTTCACAATATTTTATTACTTCCTTCCATCCAAATAAAATGCAATGTACTTTTCTGCATTAAAAAGCTCTTTTTAAAACCAAATAATTCATTTATCTGCTTTCCATCATTTTTTATAGCTATCTCTTTACCTAATGAAAAACAGCACATTTTTAACGAAAATTGTATTTATTCAGTAAAGTATTGAGAATCATTTTTCACAACTGTCTCACATCCTAATAAAATACAACAAATTTCTATAAAAAAAAAGTTTTTATTTAGAAAAAAAAAAAAAAAAAAATCTAGTCACCAACCGGTGACCGCTTTCCTCCATGACACTCACCTGACTTTTTTCGTTGTAGATTCTATTAGATAAAATTATTATTTTTTGCTATTCTACCTACGAAACATGGCTGTTGAATTTTTTTTTATTAATTTATTCCTTTCAGTTTAGTGCCTAATTTGAAATTGTTTGAAAAGCCGCCAACACAATTTTGAGTTTATGACTACCAAAGTTCAACTCCGTAGCCTTGTTATTTTGAACCAAATCCAGATGACAAGTTTATTCCTGGATCAAGTATTGGGAGACTTTTTGATGGAACTAACCGGCACTTGTGGTACATGGAGAGGAAAACCATGAAAACCTCCCACGGTTAGCTTGACGGCAAGGGGACTCTAACCCATAATTCCTCAACCACTGAGGATACTTTACGTCAGCAATGTGATCTATGCGAACCGGGTGCTGAAATCGTATTGATTCACTGGGATTCGAACCTGGGTCACCGTGGGAGGTGAAAACTCTATCCCCTGAGCCACAACGCCTCTGAAAAATTCAAATGACAACAACTTATTTTCACACCATATAGTAAGCAATTGCAACTTTTATTGGCATCAAGCACAAAAAAAAGAAGAAAAAAAATCCATTTGAAATCTAGGTTTTCTAGAAGGTCAAATAAATGGTCAAAATTTCGGCTAGGGAAAAAAAAAAAAAAAAAAAAAAAAAAAAAAAAAATTCTGTGGTGATATAAATTCTGTTTGTAGCTTTTAGAAAACGGTTGAAACTTGTATTGTCATCCAGCACAAATCTATAATTCAGTTTCGAATATTTTAACTAGTTGGAAAGTGATTGAAGTTTGGATTAACGATAATTTCCATTTGCTTGAAATATCTCAGTAAATTCTATTTGTAGCAGTCAGGAAACGAACGAAACTTGTATTGTCATTTAGTACAAAGCTATAATTCAGTTGGACTAATTGGAAAGCTGTTGCAATTTAAATTATAATTTCCACTTGCTAGAAATATCTCAGTAGTAAATAGAATTCTATTGGTAGCAGTCAGGAAATGATGGAAACTTGTATTGGGATCGAGACAGGGTTCGTAATTTCCAGATTTTTTCCTGATTTTTGATTTTTTGTCTTAATGTTCTTGACTTTTGTGTTTGTTCTGTACATCTCATTCTCTAAGAATACAAACGCGAATTTTAAAACAATCAGTTTTAATAATTAAAATATTTGATTTTTTGATACAAAGTCTTTTTATTTTTAATTAATGATTAAGGTCACAATGAAACTTGTCACATGTATAGCCTCACCAGCAGAACTAATTGTTTCAAAACTTTTGGAAATTCTGTCATGTTATGACAAAAACACTCAATTAGCAATTTTACGTTATAAAATTTTTATAATTACGAATTCAGGGCTGATGCATCTATTTATTATTTTTAAATGCGATGGTAAATCTTGTAGTGAAGAGTTTTATAGTTTCACAATTATTTTTTCGTCTGTTTCTTATGATTTTAATAATGAATTTTCCCATTCAACACTAAAATCGAACGCATCATAAAATTTTTAAATTATGAATTCTGGGACCATCCACTAAATTACTTTTGCATAAAAATGTTAATTATATTCCAGGGTTCGTAGTTCTTCTAATTTTCCTGATAAAAAATATTTTGTTTTATTTGTCCTGATCTTTAGCTTTTTATTTTGCTATTCTTGAATTCAGTATGCGTTCAAAACATCCCATTTTCTAAGAATATAAATGACAATTCTAAGAAATCGGTATGAAAAATTGAAAAATTTATATTTTTGATGCAACACCTTTTTATTTAAATTAATAATAAAAGTAGAAATCGCTAAATTCGATAGTTCCTATTAAGGGACCGTCTACAAACTAAATACAAGATTCAGGCATATCGTCTTACCAACAGGATTCATCGTTTAAAAACTTTTCGCAAATTTTGTCTTTCTATGAAAAAGAAACTAAATTTATAATTTTATCTTATCAAATTTTTAAGGGGATAAATTCAGGGGTCATATGTTTATTTATTATTTTAAGCAGATGCAGTAACAAACCTTGTATAATCGAATTTTGCAGTTAAACAATTACATGGGGAGTAGAAGATATCCAATTTTAAAGGGGGACGAAATTAAAATACGCAGTTATACAACGGTTTTTAAATTTTATACATAAGAAGAAAAAAAATCTTATATAGGGTCATATTGTGTACTATATCTATATAATCTATTTGATTGATGATAAATTATTTTGGTGATAATATAATGATAAATTTAGCTTGTAGAGGTTAGGAATCGATTGAATCTTGCATTCTCATCGGATACAATGTTATCGTGGATATTTGAGTGCTGTAGATCGACGGAAAGTGATCGAAATTCGGATTGAGAGATTCCATCGTTACAGTTACGAAAATAAATTAATAAAGGCGTAGTAAATAGATTTTAATTTTGCAATGCACAAGTAAATATCATTTCATTAAATGTTTTTTTTTTGTCAACTAAAATGAATTTTTCTACAATTCACACAGAAAAGTTATTTGAAATTAATAAAAATTGACAAAATTATAATAAGAAATAAGTGCATATAATAGTAAATTGAATTCCTTGTCATGATGTTAAAAATATTATTCAAGATTCTACGGAACATCATTTCTGAATTATATATTTTATGATGCATGAAACACCACAAAACTTAATGTTTCATGATAGAAATGTTGCCAATGGTTCACCGAAAAAATAATCACCAATGAATACAAAATTTATATCATAAAATGCGTTTCTCGTTTTTAAATGTTCATCATTAATTGTATTATTCACTACAATAATTCAAAAATACACATCAAGAAAACTGGCATCGAATTGTTGAAATTTATCTAAAGGTGATTTCTAAAGCAGGAACTTTTTATTTTAATTGATGATTAGTTTTGGCAATCTCCTGGAACCCTTAAGTAAAACAATTCAGAAAATATTATTAGAGAAATTAAGACTTTATAATAAGTAAAACATTACATAATATTGTTTGCATTACAAAAATGTATATTTTATGATAAGTTAAACATTACACAGCATGCATTTCAGAAATTATATGTTTCACAGAATTGATGCATTACAAAAATGCATGCTTTAGGGAAAGGAAAACAAAACAGAGCACAATTTACAAAACAAAATAGAAATAAAATATTACAGAAATATGTGTTTACAACACGCTAATAACATTCATTTGCACATACTTTTGCAGAAAATGAGATATTTCTTAAGAAGATTCATCCATAATGGCTTTAAATTGTTTGAATTTATTGTCTTAAAAAAGTACACATCTGAAATTTTTAAACAAAATTTTAATTAATAGAAATAAAGTATTCGGATGGTGAATATGGGATGATTATTATTCAATAAACTGACTTAAATATTCGGCAAAAAGAATTATTAGGTGCATCCATAATTTTCAATGGGATTTCACATTATAGTGTTATATAATAACTAGTTCATCTTTCATGTTTTAAAAATGATTGATATGTGTTTTGTTAAAAGGATAATTCTGACATGGTATTTATTATTTATAGTTTTTACTTTTAAATGTAGAGTTTCATAAAAGTACTATCCAAAAAAGATGCATTAAAAGGTATAGAACAGATGTAAAAAAAATTACTAAACTACTTAAAATTATATGAACACTCAAATTCAATTATTTTCAATTTCTAGAACTAACTTTCTGTCATTACTTTCTAACTCCAATGCAGACCTTGAAGAAGAGCTTTCATACAACAGTTTAAAGTTGTCCAAATTAGAATCGGGCTGAAAAGTCATTTTAAAGTTTTTGTTTTGAAAACAAAATTTTTCACTTTTATTTTTCGCAACAAATTTTTGGTCATTTGATAAATGGAAGCTATTAAGTGAGTCAACTAAACTTTCCATGCTGTTAGAAATCTCTCTAGCTGCAGCTAAATCCCTGTTTTCCTCATCTAAAACATTTGGCCCTCCTGTGATTGCGAAAGAAGCAGGTGGATTTGTTTCGATTGCGTCTAACTGGTGGTTTTCACTTTCGCAATCAGAATTCGGCTTAGCAATTCCTGTCAAATCAGAATGTTCTGGTAAGTTAGCTCTCATCAAAGTCAATGGCGCATAATGAGTTTTGTTGTTTTGGAACGAAGTTGTGCTTTGGTTATTGAAAAATATTCCTTCTATTTCTAACGGATGTTCTGCATGTGTTTCAATTCCTATTTGTGTTATACCTTTCTTTGGCGTGCTTTGGTTATGACGATGTCTGGGCTTTGATTGATGCATTACGGAATTTTGCATTTCTCCAAGATCTACTTTAGTTTCTGGTGTATTCTGTATTTTACGAGGTTTACCTTTTTTAACTACTTTCGTTTTGACGGTAGAGGGTAAGTTATGTAAGTTTGTCTCTACCTTTTTCAAAGCAGTAGATTCTGTTGCCTTTTGATTGTTATTCTTGTTAGAAACATTAGCGGATGCTGATAATTCTAACTCGCTATCTCTGCCAATTGTTTTGATTTGTGTTCCTTCTAAATTACATCCTCTTCTTTTACCAGTTAATTTAACGTTCAGAAACGATGGCTTATTGAAAATTTCTAACTTTAAATTATCAAATCTCAGACACAAATCAGACTGATCAGGCGCCAAACTCAATCTACCAGGATTACTTACAAACTGAAGACAGCCTTTGTCTGGTTTTTGCGCATCAGAAGTCTTTAACTTTTCATCAATATCACTCAACCACTGCATGGTAGGTTTTTCTTCATTGCCTAGTTTTACATTATGAGACTCGTGAACTATGGATGGCTCACTGTCGCTGTAGCTGTCGTCAGAAACAGATGATCCATGCCTCCAGCTGGATCCTTCACTTCGTGATGAATCATTTTCGTTTCTCAAACTGTTTTTCTTCTTTGAAAGTATCTGTCGGAAAATTTATAAATAAAGATATTTTACGAATAATTTAATACTAAAATGTAAACAATATCAGTTAAGTTTTTCTGATATCGCAACACAAAAAATAAAGAATCGTAGTTTAAGACTTATTTTGAAAAAGTTTTGTTCAAATAAAACTATTCAGATAAATTGATAACGAACTTAACATCAAATATAATTTATTTCATTGTTATTCCTTTTTTTGTTTAATAGTTTCGCACCATAAAAAAAAAATGCCCTTCTACTTCCCCTTAGGAGCAATTTTCGCATATTGACAACATTGTGGAGAATCACCAACGTCACTATGCTTAAACCTGAGAATGGAGAAAAACTCTTAGTGAATTTAAAAAATTTTAATGTACTCAGAATTACTCAAAACCCCTAAAAAACATTTTATTACTTTTCTAAGAGTGTTAATCATGAAATTATAGTTGACAATTATCAAAGGCACTATGTTTAAACCCCAGAATGGTAATAAAAAAAACTTAATACTCTTTAAAAATTTTAATGCACTTAGAATCACTAAAAAAAAAACATTTTTTTCTCTTCATTTTCATCTGAAAAAAGGAGTCACATGATTATTCTCCAACTGAAGTCACCTGTGCCCATCTTTAAGTTTGCTATGACTGTGCATTGAAAGTCATAATGTTCGTAATTAAATCCAACTGTGTTAGATTGTAAATAAATATGTTAAAACAAAATTTGTGCAATAAATTATACCCTAATGTATCCTGATGAAAATGTGGGCTTAACATAACTTATTTTTATAATATCATTAAATTTCAGCGATACACAATGTAACATTGTAAACAGTTGACGAAATTTTCAAGATCTGAATAATTAAGATATTCAAGCTAAGTAGTGAGTTATGGATACCTGATATTACTTATTCATATGATGCTTTATAAATACAAAATGATCTTATTCTTCCATTTTTTCACTACGTTAATTTTAATTATAAAGAATATTTAACGTTTTTTTAGAAGATTTAATTTTATGTTATAAAATTCAGTTTTGAGTGAAAGAAATGTTGAATTAATTTTTATGCAGAATAGTTTTAGATTTCAAAAATGTAGAAAAACTAAAGTTATTGATTTTTTTCAATTTATTCCATCTTCAATTTAATGCAAGGAATTATCTTCATAAAAATACAAGATATTTAAAAAAAATCGTGATTTGCGCAAAAATTTTAATTCATTTTTTTTTTAAAATTCAGATAGAAAATAAAATACTGATTTTACTTACAATGTCGAATTACATTAACATTATAAAGTCCAAGATTACAATCAACATTATATAGAATAGCAACAAAAAATATTTTATTGTTATTAAAATATTGTTTTTTTAAGTTAAAGGAAGTATAAAAAAATTATATATTCCAACAAAATTTATTAACTTTATTTTAATTGCAGTCAATTATATTATAAGACTTTTGAAATCAAGCATGCATTTAGTTCTACATTATTGGAACAGTAATTCAATTTTGTAAGTACTTATAAAAATATTTTAAAGCCATAGCAAAATTATTATTTTCTCCACAAATAAAAATTTTGAGAATCGATATCAGCATTATCTTTAAATTTAATTATTTAATAAATTATAAAAAAAGCGTATTAGAAATTATTTTGGTTTGCATAAATTTTTTTTTAAAATTCTTCAGCTTTAATAAAACAAAAACGTTTAGCTTAATGATAATGATTCGCTGAAATTATATGGCTTAATTAAATTACATTAGTGAAAATTTGATCAGTAGGACATAAATTGTGACGATGAGGTACAGATATTTTTCAATGGACTAGATTCTTGAAAGCACTGATTAGTTTTACAGCTGTACCGGATGCTTAACCTGTGATTTTTTTCAATTATCTAAATTAACTTTTCTCTTTAAAATGCACAATGCATTAATTTTGCTATTTTAGAAATCTTCTTTGCAAGCATTAGCAAATAGTTTGCAGAAATAAGGTGATAAATTCACATTAACCGTACTTTGTAAATACTGCATTCCAGAAAAAGTAATAAAAATTTGTAAAGAAAAATTATTTCTAACAACGACAAAATTCCTATTTACTCAACGAGCATTACTGTGTATTTATACATAATATGCATATTATATGTGTTTATATAATGAAATAAAAAAAACTGTATTAGTAAATAGACTAAAAAAATATCCACATCTCTGATTTTCGCCGAGAAAAAAAAAGCGCAATTATAAAGCATGTTTCTCTACTGGCTTCGCCTACACACACGTCTACGATTACGTATTTGATGTACAAGATTTACCTTTCTGCCTAGAAGCAAAGGTTTTACTTTCATTTCAGTTCCTTTCTTGAAATTCGATAAAAATGCAAATTCTCTTAATTCATTTCACCTGTGTATTTAATTAAAACATTTATAAAAGAATTAAAAAAAAAAAAAACGCTTATAACTACGATATGACAAATAAATTGACTTTTGAATTTAACATATCGGGGAGAGTTACTCATATGCATCTGATTTTATTCTCATTTATGTTTAATTAAAAATAAGTTTTGTAAGCCTTTTTTTTTTACCCAAATAAAATTTTTTTTTGATTTGCTGCAGAATACAAATTAATTTAAATTAATAAAACTTGCAATGAGCGTATATATTTCAAAGGATGGCACTGATTGTTCCTCTTAAAAAGTTTAATTGGAGATAGAAATGTTTTTAAAAATCACGCTTGATAAGTATGGTGGTTGGTTGTGCTCAGGAGATGAATAGATTAAGTTTACATTTAATTAGTATTTATTTTACATTTAATTATTAAGTATAAAAAGGGAAAATGTGAAAACAAGAGCAGTGCGTCATTCTACAATGGCGGTTAGGATTCTTCTGGTGAATGACGGAGACAGTTACTGATCGTAACTGTCGCGGTTACGATTAAGTTAAGTTCAGTCGCCGCATAAATGTACTAAAAAAATATAAATTTTTGTCACCAAAACAAAAAAAAGTGGAACTTTAAATGTTGGTAGAAGCTCATTGTGAAATTTTGTCCTTGCGGTTTCTGTTGTGTGTGAAATTTTTTTATAAATTTATTTTTCTAATTTTTAGTCCACTGAACAAATTTGGTTTTTTAAATATATTACTTTTTTTTTATTTTCATATTTTCTACAATTTAGTTGTGTGTCCCCTGGCTTATTCAGACCGGTAAATAATCAAAATTTAGATTGGCGATAAATTCCGCTTATAGTGGTCAGAAAGTGTTTGAAAATTGTGTAGTCATCCTGCACGGAACATCAGTAAAAATTTGAGCACCTAAATTAGTCAAGAAGCGGACGAAATTTTAATTGCAGTTTTTTTCTTGCTTGTAGAATAATAGTTACACATTCTTATTTTTAAATTCCACGTTTTATTTTCTGTTAAATAAGATGCGTCTGATATTAATACTGCCAATACATTATTTATTTCTAATTATTATCATTATTTTTCAAGTTCACTATCCATAGAAAAAAAAACTTTTCTGAAGAGCAAGCACAAACAAGGTTGTAATGATTTTATGCCAGTGCTTCCGGTAAGTCGACGAAATAACACTGTCGACAAAATGACCCTGTCGATGAAATGACGCTGTCGACGAAACCACCTTGTCGATGAAATGACCTGTAGACAACCTAGTCTATGAAATGGTCTGTCGATGAAATGAAACAGACCCCTATCGATTACTATTATAAATTATTTAATTGGTTGTACTAATGAATGAATATATTGAAGTTGTGTCTTTTGAACTATTAGGGGTAGCTATGTTAAAATTGCCAACACTAATTTACTTTTTTCTCAGAAAATTCTGAATTTTTTTGTTTTTGTTTTGTTGCTTTTATAATGGTGCAATTTTAACAAGGGGATAAATTCGGATTTTGAAATTAAATCTGGAAGTTAAAGATTTTTTTGTTTAAAAATTATTTTTAAATAAAAAAATCGAACAAAAATTTTTAAAGATAGTGTTCAAATTATATTTATATTTCAGCAATATGAGCGAAACTAAAGAAAGAAATTATAATACTCTGTATTTTTTGTGAACAGACACGTTGTAGTTGGCAATTTTACTGTGGATATTTATTATATCGGATTATGGATATTTTTGTTATGAGATGAAAAAATTCGACTTCTTGCAACGACTTACATCACGAAAATCTATCATAACGTTAAAAATTTAATCAATTTCATGTAATTATTTTGTTAACAGTGCAAAAAAAATATATTTTAATCAACTAAAGCCCTTACTGACCTGTTTTGTTTGCAATGAACTAGTTTCGATATTATCATTTGCATGATACCCTGAAGCATATCCAGGTTGCCCAATTTTTTCGCCCGAAACCATTATGGATTCCTCCTGATCCTGATATACATTTGAAGTTTCAGGTAAAGGAAGAATCATTGCTGTAGATCTATTTGGCTGTGTATTTGGACACTGTGTTTGATCTTCACGTGCGAATTTACAGAGTGTCTGATAATTGTGAGGACTTACTTCAAAAATAAAATCTTCTTTCGTTTGCACCACATCTGCAGGATTCGAGTGCTCCTTTTCACGATGTTTTGTTTGAGAAATGGCACTGCCTTCAATGTCTGAAATTTGTAATGTATCCAGCGGAGCTTCCGTTTGGCAAGCTTTAAGTGGGATTTCCAGCTCATATTCTGTCTTTGTTGACGTCTTTCGTAAACCGGGGAGAGACTTTTTATTTGGTTCGTTATCCATGGATTCATTCAAACTCTGACCATGTATTGGTAGTTGGTTTTGTTTCGCAGGAAGTGCCCTTATTTCTTGCCTGCTTCCGTCTATGAAAGTTTTTTTTCTTCCGTGTCTATTTTCCCTCATTTCTCTGATTCCCTTCTTTTCAATGACTTCAGATTTTAGAGAAACTTCTTCCTCTTCCTCTTCTTCACTTTGAAAGAAAATATCACAACTTTTTATTTCGAAATGAGAGGATTCGCCCTCAATTTGATCGAAACTCATCGGGGGAACGGGCGAGTTTTTAGCAGTATTTTTCAGAGTATGAACTGCATTTTGTTTTTCTTTACTTTCAAATGAAATATTTAAACTTTTTACATCAGGATGTGCAGATTCGCTCCCTGGTTCTTTTGAAAAATAATTCCCTGTTTCGCAATTTTCAGAAGAACTCATTTGAGTCGCATCAAATTTTTTTTCCTCGGGCATTCCCCTTTGGCAAACGTCATTTATAGTTTTAGAAGTGCCATTTTTCTGAAGACCGTCATTTTTTAATGTTTCAGAGTCGAAGACACTATTTTTTGATTTTTCTGTAGAATTAAAACTTTCAACTGTGTTACGGTAAGATTCAGCCTGTGAGTTATTTAAGGACATTTTCTCATCAAAACCCTCAACTGTGTTAAGGCAAGATTCAGCCTGTGTGTTATTTAAGGACTTTTTCACATCAAAACCTTCAACTGTGTTATGGCAAGATTCAGCCTGTGAGTTATTTAAGGATTTTTTCTCATCAAAACTTTCAACTGTGTTATGGCAAGATTCCGCCTGTGATTTATTTAAGGACATTTTCTCTTCATCAGATTTCATTTGTAGGTCTGCTATTTTATCAGAAGCAGTGTTAACACGAACACATTCTTGATGGTTACTGTTGCCAGAGACTTTTGGCAACAACTCATTAATTTTCAAGTAATCATCAGATTTTTTCAAATCTTGCAATTCGTCATTTAGATGGCTACTGGAGGAAATTTTCCGTTTCATAGATAAACTACCGAATAAACTTATGGGATTTCCCATGAAATGTTTCTTCACGTTTGATCTCAGATTCGTTTTAGAGATTCTTATGTTTTTAGTCTAAATAAAGTTAAGTTCTTTTACTTCTATACTTTCTTCTCTTCTTGAACTTCGCAACATTGTGGTCTTTTGCATCCTCATACGACTTCCTAAAAAAGATAAACAAAGAAAACTACTTAAGGATACTTACTTACAGGAATAAAGAGTTGTAGTTTCTGTAGAATATTGCCGAAATAAGAAGCTTCGTCAAAAGTAAAAAAAACTTATTCCTATGTTATCGGGATAATAATAAATAATTTTCTTGTAAATTTAACTAAAAACTGGTGTTAAATTTTTGAAAAAGTATCAAGTATGTTTTTAGGAATCTAAATTACACGATACAAGTATGAAAAAAAATGCAAAGGTTTAAATAGAAGTTCGAGCTTAATTGTAATCTGTTGTTATCAAAAGTCTATAAGTAAATTAATTTACTAGTTTATTCCAATTAATTTAAAAAAATAAAATAAAATAAAAAACATTGCCAATGATAATAAATAAATAAAAAGTTTCAAAGAACGTTTTTGAACTAGACTAAAGGCTTTAATTTAGAATTTTTGGGGGTGGTAGATATTAATTACGGAATGTGTAATGGAAAATGTTGGATAGTGGGGACCATCATGAATTGCACTGAGACCAACGTAAACCATCAAAATTTTTTGATGCGACCATCAAGAATTTTGACTTAAAATAATTTCAGAAAAAATAAACAAATTTAAATAGTTGCTTACTTATATGTTTTACGAGTTTTCAAATTCAAAACATTACATGATGTTTCAAAACTGCTCAGTAATGGAATCAAGTTAATACTTACTTGTTACAAACTTAAATTTATTTTCCGCAAATAACTATGAATGATTGGTGAAACGGCTGTTTTAATTTTATGCTTTAAATATTATCAGTACCTGACGACTTCTTTAAATTCATTAAATTTTACCGAAACCAAAAGTATCTATGATAAGCAATTTTTTAAAATTGGCGATAAAATGCTAATTTTTAATGGATTGCTTAAAAATTGACTTTTATCAGCTCTTGAAAATTTTAAGGGGACCAACTCACATAATCAGTTGTGAACGCTATTAAGATTTATTTATCAAAATTTTACTTTAATGTTGCTCATTATTTTTAATCTTTTTCTGAATTCCTTCTGAATTTTTCTAAATTTCTTTACGAAGATTATTTTTTTACAATATATTATTCCGTTTATATTAATGAACAATACAATACTGAATATATATTTTTTTCAAAAAATTTAAATAATTTAAAGCTATAAAAAGTTAATTCAACAATCGAAATGAAATACACGTGTGGCGAAATTCAATTAAACATACTGACTTTAAAGAACTTTATTTAAAAATATTTAGGAAGGCAAAATATATTTAATGTATACCTTACAACTACTTTGAAATATGTCAATCGGTAAGGAACTCTTTTTCCACATGAATCCTTCCAACCGAATTGATTCTGAAGGAACAATATTTTGAATGGAGACACTATACATTTTAATGAAAATTTTGTTTTTCATATTGATGTACTTCTACCATTAAACATTTTAGAAAAAAAAAGAACAGTGACTGGTTGCTTAACTAATTTAAATCGCCATTTTCTCATTGACTCGCCAAATGGCGAGTGGTTATTTTCATGTCTACTTTGGTTTCTCGATTTGCAGTAGTAGTTTAGTAACATCGTATCAGTGAGAAATACACGATGTCGTATGATACAATACATATAGGATGTTCCTTAGGCGAATTTTTTGTCTTAGTGAAGAAATAAAAACCAGTCTAATTGTATGGTAAAACTGTGAATTATTTTAAATAATCGTCTTTCAACATTTCAGGCGATAAAACAGGATCTTGATGTTTTTCATCCCGCCTTCCTCAATATTGATTAGTTAGATTTCGATAGCGTTTTTGTTTCCTCTCATGAGTACACTTTTTTTACTACATTTTTGATAAGGTTTTTAAAAATATATGTTAAGGATATAAGGGAATAAAATATACAAAACGAAACACACTGTATTCTACACAATAATATTTTAAAATGTGATACAGACAAAAATTATTGAAATATAAACTATAAATAGGAAAACAAGAAACATTTTTCCATTGCTTAGCTTCGTTCTATAGAAATAAATAAAAAACAGCGTTGTATGAAACTCAAATTCACAATTACAGTTTCTAAACTAAATAAAATAATATTACTTACATATAATTAGAATAAGTATGTGTGTATCTTGTATATATCAAAAGAATAATAATTTTTGAAATCAATACTCACTTCTTAAAAAACCTTATTAAGTTTTGAATATTTTATTCATTGAAATCAATCATAACTTTGTCTAGACTGAACCGCTTTTCTGCCAGCTTTAACTTACGCAATCTTGAATTGAATGTTATTTTATTGTGATATCAACATTTTTTGCAAGATAAATTAAAACAATCAGCTGATAACTTATCTCATTTTCGTTTTCTCTTCGCTATGCTCTATAATTTGTCTTTTGATCGTACAATATCTTGGCACAAAGAACATTTTTAAGAACTTAGTGGCAACATTATTTTTAATCATAACTTAAACCGATAGATCACAGCAAAATTTTCAATTCAAGCATTAATGATTTGGAAATAGAAATTTTCATCACTAGAAATAAATTTTTGTTTTCCGAATGATAACTTATTTCGAAATTATTTTTGGTTGGATATTTGGTTTTAAAACAGAAGATGATTCAGTTGTCAGAAAATAACTTTAGTTTAATTAGATCTATTAAAATTTTGATTTTATTTGAGTCAAGTGGCGATTGGACAGTAAAGTTACAATCTTTTAAATACACATATTATACTCTTTAATATTTATTACTCATTTTTTTTTTATTTTCATATTGTGAATTCAGTAGCTGTTCTACTATATGCAACATTGACAATTCCATAGGTAATTTTACTTTATTTTTTCAAAAGCAGTTAACTTCTTTGTCGCCCTATCGATTGTGTTTCGTTTCATTTGATACAGCGTAAAAATAGCTCGGTAGATAATGTCTATTCCAGATAGCGGCTAAAGCTGAACTCGAGAGTGAAAGCGAACTTCAGATACGGGCATAAGATCTAAACTACAACTTATAAAATTATTTTCAGTTCCCCCCCCCTTTCAGTATTCAGTAGTACAGACCTAAATGTAGCATCTTGTTGATATAGCGGTACGAACGGAATGTAGCATCTTGTCGATATAGCGGTACGAACGGAAAGCATCCTGTCGATAGCATCCTAAATGTATCTTGTCGATATAGCGGTACGAACGGAATGTAGCATCTTCTCGATATAGCGGTACGAACAGAATGTAGCATCTTGTCGATATAGCTAACGGAATGTAGCATCTTGTCAATATAGCGGCACGAACGGAATGTAGCATCTTGTCGATAGCATCCTAAATGTAGCATCTTGTCGATATAGCTGTACGAATGGAATGTAGCATCTTGTTTATATAGAGATACGAACGGAATGTAGCATCTTGTCGATATAGTGGTACGAACGGAATGTAGCATCTTGTCGATATAGCGGTACGAACGGAATGTAGCATCTTGTCGATATAGCGGTACGAACGGAATATAGCATCTTGTCAATATAGCGGTACGAACGGAATGTAGCATCTTGTCGATATAGCGGAAATTTAGTGTAAAAGCGCCCCGACAGAAGATTCCCGGTTCCAGTAAACTTAATGTAAGCCATTTTTTGGAAGAGGCACACTTATAGTTCATTTGCTAAAAGACGATGAAGAATTTAAAGTTTCGAAGTAAAAGTTAAGTTACTTAACCCCTTCAGAACTGTGATCACATATACGTGATTACGCAATCTCTATTCACGGCATCATATATGAAACTATAGCCTTTCTCACTTCAACGGCCCAAAATCGAACAGGCATAACTTCAATTCCGCGCGCGCAGATTTTTATGCGCAGTCAGAAAATTTCAATAAATTTCAAAAGCGAATCGGTGTTAGTTAAAAATCATTTAAATGAAAAACTGTTATTATATTTTTTATTTAGATGCTAAAGCAAAACTTAGGGGACAAAAGTTTTAAGATTCGAATATTTATTGGCAACACCAAAATCAAAATACCACAATAATCGTTCCCAAATTGTTTCTTCAATGAATTGAATGTGAAATTTACTAAGAATGTAAAACTTGCTACTTAAGCCAAACTTCAACACACGTACCATTCACTGCACAAATTTACAAACTCCATATAACAAAAAAAAAAAACTTAAATAAATTTTTTAAATATTTTTAATTAATTGTTTCGTTAATAAATTAATGGTGAAGCTTCAAGAGAATGCAGGACTTGTTATTTAATGAACGTACTTTGACAGTTGAGTCGTTCACTGCACAAATTGATCAAAGAGGAAAATGAAATGAATAACAACTATTACTTTTTTTTAATTATTTTTTTTCATCGCTTACAAGAGTAGTGTCTTTATTATTTGGTAGATTTATTTTGAAGATACCTTACTTCTAAACAATAAAAAAAAATAATACAAATTTATATTATGTAGGTATTTTTTTCTTTGTTATTTGTCAAGTACGAGGCTCATCCAGAAAGTAAGTTTCCCTATTTTTTTAAAAAAAGGAACTCACACTTTCAGGAACCTATTTATTGGCAACAAGTGCAGCAATGTTTCTGCTACTTTTCAACATAGCCACCACCAGAATTGAGACACTTGTCGTATCGTGGGATCAACTTTTGCATGCCTCTGTCGTAGAACTCTGCCGCCTGTGAATGGAACCAGCGTGTGACAGGCGTCTTCAGCTCTTCGTCGTTGCCAAAACGCTCACCGGAGGAAAGAAATTTCTTGAGGTGTAAGAAAACGTGAAAATCGCTGAGAGCAAGATCATTCATTGTCATGGAGAAGCACAACACCTGCAGTAAGCATTCCACAACTCTTGTTTTGAATGGCACGTCGCAATTTCTTCCGTGTTTCACAGTAACGGTCAGTGTTTACTGTTTGGATGGAAGTCAATGAGCAAAATGCTGTTTCTGTCCCAGAGCACCGTGCACATCACTTTTCGTACCGACAGCTTCCTAAGCGTTGAATTTTGTATTCGGGTGTCCGGTTTTTCGACACACGCTGGTTCCATTCACAGGCGGTAGAGTTCTACGACAGAGGGATACAAAAGTTGATCCCACGATACGACAAGTGTCTCAATTCTGGTGGTGGCTATGTTGAAAAGTAGCTGAAACATTGCTGTACTTGTTGCCAACAAATAGGTTACTGAAAGCGTGAATTCTTTTTTTAAAAAAAATAGGGAAACCTTTCTTTCTGGTTGAGCCTCGTATATTGTAAAGGGGGACTGAATATATCCTTCGACTAAAATGGGATAGCCCTGCTATCATCGTACTTACTTCAACAAGCAATGGAAAACATAAAAGAAGGCCGGGACTTACTTGGCAAAAATACATGCACAAGAAACATGTGCAGAATACTAAATGGATGGGAGTAGGTAAGAAGACTGACTCAGGAGTCAGGAAAGAGTGCTTGAAAAAAAAGAGACTATGTGCCAGCTGGAGCGAAGAATATGGATAGGTGGATTTATTGTAAATATAAAAAGCTATAAATGAACCATGTTCTTTGGCATTTAAATGTAACATATATTTAAAAAATGGGCATTTAAATGTAACATATATTTTTGAAAAAATGGAGTTGATTAATGTGTGCATTGAACGACTCGTTTATTGAAATATTATCAGCAATAAAAATTTCAAATACATAAGCACGATAAAGCTATCATGGGAGAATAAAACAAAGAAATTAAGTGTATGACAAATATAAATGATAAAATGATTTAATTTTTGTATTAGAAGTTTCCATACAAGAAATCACCTGCATTTTATAAACTATACTCATTTTTGTAAGAAATATTTTTACAGTTCACTTACAAAAAATATTTAAAGTTGATAAAAAATAACATCACACTTAAGTATAAAATAACATATCAATTATTTTAAGCAAGCAAATATTTTAACAAAACACTGGATCATACTGGGAAAAAAATGAAATAAAAAACTTTTTTTCTAAGATGAAGAACACATCATTACCAAATTTAAAGTAAAAAAAATCACCAAAACATCATAATACAAATGAATGTTTTAGGTTAAGAATAGTAATTACAGAACATTATTTCAGACTTACTCATTCTTACGGGTAAGAAAAATTTAACACTATTACAGAAATAAATGTTTTGTGGCCCAATGGTTTTCTAAACACCTGAAAAACTGACATCAATTTTGAAATAAAACAGATATAAGTAAGCTTATCTTTCAATTGTGAATTAAAATTTTAAATCTTTTTCATTTTTGGATGTAAATTTATTTAAATAGAGTTATTATATTATAATAGTTACAAACACAATAAAATAAAAAATTTTATCCCAAAATTACTAAGCGTTTTTTCTAAGTGCGTACGTACCTTGGCCATGTTTTAAGATAAATCAATTTTTTATTCTAATGCATGCCAACTCTGTACAGAAAACATTGGAAAAAAAATTTACAATTAACGTAACACTAAACAAACCATCAGGTACCCAGAAGAGTATGTTTCGATTCGTTTTTGGCGTACCAGAGCTTGTATTAAATACATTGAAACGCTAAAACTGGCATAATTATCGCCACTCGCCCCAGTGGTCAGATCTTGACCCTTTGACTCAGATGGGACACCGGTGTCCCTTTAATGTAATTTTTTTCTGGCTCTCTAATTAAAAGCCAAAAATTATAAAAAACAGTCTTACTAAAAAATATCTTTTAGATAATTGGAGTTACATTTGAACTAAAATACAAAATAAGAAGAAGTAGTTTTAAAAAAAATTTTTCATTCATATTCAGAAAATTATTTGATGAAGTTTCAGTGAAAAAGGGTTAAGAAGAATGATACCATACGGATTATTAATACGTTGGTTGGGAAATTTTACACATTTTCATACACTACTCGAATATCATATGTATTTAGTCATTTGTATGAACAACAGTTTCGAAACCATGTTAATACCACATAGACTGTTTTTGTTGCCAGTTCCTTAAAAAACGCAGAATTTGCAAGCTTGTATTATATGGTTGGAAATGCATAATTGATACTGATTTCGCTGTATAAAATGCCTTTACATGAAATTATCAGGTGATTTTTTTTCTTATCCCTGACAAAAACGTCACAACTTCTGTGAATGACTGATATTTATACTTGTGACAGAGACAGGGAATAAATGAGAAGATATAAAATCCAGGAAAAGGGAAATTAGGTCCAAAAAATATATATACTAAAAATGTAATTAAGCATTGATGATAAGAAATAAGTACAAAATCAAAATACTTTCGAAATATGGAAAATTTAAGATTTAAAACATCAAAATGTTCATTCACTTTTTAATTAGAATTATGAAATTTTACTTTTAAAAGGTTATTAAAGATAATTTAAAAGCATTATTTTTAAATATATTAAAATTAAAAATGAAAAGTAGCAGCTATTTTGCTATCTCATGCTTTTCCTGTTACACCGCGATTTGTATTTTATGAATATTTTTATGGCTCAATAATTTGCCTACTGGATTTATCGTATTCAAAAAATAATTTATTGGCAAGCAGAAAAATTACAACAGGAATCTATACAACAGAAATAGGTTAAAAGATCAATTATGATTTGAGAGACCAATTGATTAAATTAGCTTAATATGTTAGGAATTTTTAAACGAAACTTTAATCAGCAAAAATAAGTTATCCGATGGGCGAATAACGCATAATTAGTACTTGTAATACTGAAATAATCAGTTGGCTTGAATTACTTATTGCCACAAAATCATTATTTGATTCTTCCCTTAATTAAAATTATTCGTAGTACCCGGAATATCTTTGTAGTTTTTTAAAACACTTCATATTTGTTTTCATAAAAATTTAATAACTCTAGCAAATTACTTATTTTTAAAGATTTGATATAAATATAAGTACCGCAGAGAAGGTAGTATCTCTTAAAGATATTTTGAAATATATTACGGGACAATAATAAAAGTTTAAGAAAAAAGAAAATTATCTACGTAATTCTTATAAAAAAAATGAAAAGTCAAAATAACATTCAAAATACAGGATTGAATGAACTCAGTTATGACCAATTTCTAAAAATAATTTTTTCTCCTTAACTTTGAACTCCATTTCAGATTTTGAAAACGAGCGTTCATAACAAAACTTGAAGTTGTCCATATCTGAATTGGGCTGAAAAGTCATCTTAAAATTCTTGTTTTGAAAACTGAATTCGTCATTTTCATTTATCGCACCTATCTCTCTGCTGTCTGAGAAATGGAAGCTACTAAGTGAGTCAACTAAACTTTCCATGCTGTTAGAAATCTCTCTAGCTGCAGCTAAATCCCTGTTTTCCTCATCTAAAACATTTGGCCCTCCTCCGATTGCGAAAGAATCAGGTGGATTTGTTTCGATTGCGTCCAGTTGGTGGTTTTTACTTTCGTAAACAGTATTCGGCTTAGCAATTCCTGTCAAATCAGAATAGTCTGGTAAGTTAGCTCTCATCAAAGTCGATGGAGTATAACGAGTTTTGTTGTTTTGGAACGAAGTTGTGCTTTGGTAATTAGAAAATATTTCTTCCTTTCCTGACTGATGTTCTGCATGTGTTTCAGTTCCCTTTCGCGTTATACCTTTCTTTGGAGTGCTTCGGTTATGACGATGTTTAGGTTTTGTTTGACGCATTATTGAGTTTTGCATTTCTCCAACTTCTACTTTAGTTTCTGGTTTTTTCTGCATTTTATGAGGTTTACCTTTTTTAAGTACTTTCCTTTTAACAGTACAGAGCGAGTTATGCCCGTTTGTCTCTACTTTTTTTAACGCAGTAGATTCTGTTGCCTCTTGATTGTTGTTCTTGTTAGAAACATTGGCGGATGCTGATAATTCTAAATTGCAATTTTCACCATCTGATTCAACATTGGTATCTTCCAAATAATTTTCGATTTTTTCACCAATTAATTTCAGATTCACAAAAGATGGATTGTTAAATATTTCTAGCTTTAAATTGTCAGAACTTAAACACAAACTAGATTTGCCCGCGTGACGGAATTCACAAGAGTTACCTACAAATTCAACACATTTATTGTCTTGTCCATGCTTTTGCGTAATATCAGAAGAATTGCACTTTCCATTAGTGTCATTCAAACATTCTTGTGTGGCCTTTTGTTGCTGACTTTTGGAATAATGAAACTGGTTGCGAAATTTTATCGAATCAATAGTACATTTAGCCACAGTGGCTGGCTCAATGTCACTGCAACTGTTCTCAGAATCGGTATCAGATGATGATATATTTTTCATTTGCCTCCAGTTCAAAGATGTGAAACTCCGAGTTGATAAACTATTTGCCTCCAAGCTGTTTCTCTTCTTTGAAACGATCTGCCGAAAAAAAAATTGCAATAGTGAAATATGACACAATATAAATTTAATATCAAATTGAGTGATTACCCGACGTGAAAGCAAAAATTTTTATAGCTAACTTATTTATCTTTATATTAATATTTTATTAATAAAAAAGAACTTAAACAGAGCTTCATATATATATATATATATATATATATATATAGTCCAAACAAAAGTCCATACATAAGTCCAAACAAAACAATACCTTTTAATATTTATTATTAAATTTGTAATTTAACAATGATCCAAATAATTTTAAAAGATATAATACTTTAATGCCATATTAAAGTTTCTATTTTTAAATGATAAAGTATCATAATTTGAAACCAATCCTTTAAAAAGATCTCGTAAAAAATTAATAATTATTTATTATTTTAATAAATAGCCGCTTGACTTTATAATTTATTAAAATTTTTTGAGAGCTGTTAAGTCGATTAGTTTAAAATTTTAGAAACTGGGATTTAAATGTAGTGTAACAAAGGTGAAATATATCCCCATTCATTCAACATTTATCTATCAATACTAAATTAAATAATAAATATTATTTAAGGATTTTTTTCCAGGATAAAATCCTTAAGCAAATAAACGTTAAAAAATTTATGATTTTTTTCAATATTAATAGTTTCAAAATTAAGCAAAAATATTAATTTTTAAGAAGACAAATTTTCAACCTGGGCAGAAAGTTAGTTTTCCAGTAACAGCTTTACTCCAACATATATCAAAAAATCTAATCTGTCTAAAAATTGTATGTTTAATCTTAGAATGTAAAGTGAATAATTAATTAAATAAAAAACAGTACACTTTGAGTAACTTTTCATTTAATGATCGGATTCTTCACATAGAAACTTGCAATCTTAATAACTCGAGGCGGCCACCACGCTGGTGATGAGATGGGTCCGCCCGAGTCCCGTGTCCGGATCGCATGTAACCTACCTTTACATCTACAGTTTATAAAAGAGAGATTTTCAGAGCGCTGATTGGATTTCTCGGCAAAGCTTTCTGTCATGTTTTTTTGTAGCTCCTCCCCAATATCATTTCTCCGTAATTAGTTAACAAAATGTAAGTCAATCATATATCAGTTCTAGTATATTTCTCATACTAAATTTAAGACAAATGTTTAAAGTTCCGTACAGAACATAAAATAGAGTTATCAATGGTCTTTTAATAATAACATATTTATTGGAAGATAGTTTGATTTAAATTTATTTCTATATTTTTCTTTATTTGTTAAAAAAATATTTTGTTAACGTTTCATTGTAATATTTTTTAATGTTATGGATTTCAGGTAAATGTTTTGGTAAAACATCAAATTAGTACAACAATAAATATTAAAAATAAATCGTGAACATATATTTTAAATTGTGAACATATATTATATATTTTTAGCTAGCTTTCATATAATAAATATAAGAATTGATTAATATTCAAACTGAAAAGTATTATAAATCTCCTTAGAAATTAAAATCTATAACTTAAATTTATCAAGAATGATTGCAGAACCAAACAAATAAAAACTGTGCACGTTCAGTTTAAATTTATTATATGAAATATTAAAATGCATATAAATATTACTGTAAAATTATTTTTGATTATTTGCAAAAGATTTTATCTTAGAGGAAAATGTTCTAAAATGTTGTAATTCAGCAAAAAAAAAAAAAAAAATTATAGAACATTTGTTATTAATAAAATTTATTTTATTGAGAGTAGCATATAACAAGTTTACAAGTTACAATAAGTATAACACGCTACAAGAAAATTAAAGTATACATTAAAGTAGGAAAATATTATTATTTTATAGATTTTCCCTTTTCACTCCTCGACGCATTCCTATCTTCAGTCAAAAAATAGAAATCAGATGTTTGAAAATTATGGAATTTTAGCGTTTAAAAAATAAATACATAAAATGAAAGGATAGAAACAGATATTAAGAGATAAAGCTTAGCTTAATTTCGTGAAGCTTATCGTCACTTTATTAAAATAATGTTAAAAATTGTATGCCTTACAGTTCAAAAGTTCAATTTACAGTTCAATTACAGATACAGTTCAATTAGTTCAGTGCCTTACAGTTCAATTTTTGACTATTTTTTAATAAAATTTTAAAAAATAGTAAAAATTTATTAAAAGTTATTTTTCTGCATGAGATTGATTATCTTCGGATTGTGTGGGTCAGAATCTGTCGAAAAAAGGTATGTTTATTCAGAGAAAGTGCGTTTTTTTTTGTCTGATTTCGAAATTTTAAATATCATCTACATTATTTAATTATCATATTTGAGGTTAAAATATTAGGATTGAGTCCAAAACGTGAAGATCAGTTTGTGCACTGTACATACAAATAAATCAATAACAATCGTACTGACCTGATTAGTTAACATTGAGCTGAACTTCATTTCGATAGTTGCATGGGATTCCAGCATTTCCTTTTGGTCTATCGCATCCACAATTTCGTTTTTTGAAGAAGCCTTATCTTCAGCAAATATTTCAGATGCTTCCACTTCATTTCGAATTAGAGACTTATTTGAATTTGAAGATTCAGATGATGGAACGGCCAGTTCGGTAGATCTTCTTGGACGTATGGTCGGACATGACATTTTTACTTCCTCTGAGATTTCAGCAAAAGATTGATTCTTAGGAGAACTTTGATCAAAAACAAAGCACTCCGTTTTCATAGCCCCACCAAGCTTAATAAAATCCTTTCTACTGTTTTCTTCGCCAGTGATTTCATTTCCCACATCTGTTCTCGTCAAACTCTTCAGTTTCTCAAATTTTTCTTGATAAAAAGCAGGTGCATTGCTACTTAAACTGAAGCCTGGCTCGTTAGCTGATGTGTCTCGTTCCTCTAATAAGGATTCGTTTTTTTCTGAAAGATTAGATATTTTTTCTAAGCTGGCAGCATGAGAAAAATATTTTCTCGACATAAATTTTGAAGGTCTCTTTGCCACGGTTTTTCTCAACCTTAATCGACTTCCTACATATGATGTTCTATCTGCATTATCTTTTCTTGAGACTAAATTATCTGTAAGAGGAGCATTTCTATGCATATCTATATCATTTTTAGAAGCTGTTTTATTTAATGAAGCACTACCAAAACTTTCTAAAGCTTCGTATAAATCAGAACCCGGGTTTTCAGAATCTGTGTTAGTCGGTAGAGCAGAACCAGAGTTAAGGCTCGAATCATTGTTACCGCAATGTTGACTTACTACCCTTTCATTATTCTCGGAATTCAGATTAATATTTTCAACAGAGTCCATTCCAAAATCGCTTGATTTGCTTCGTTCTTTCAAAAGTAATGGAAATTGGAGAGCATCAAAAGTTACGTTATTTAATGTTATATAACCTGGGTTTTCAAAACCTTCGTTATTTAATAAAGAAGGATCTAAATTTTCAGAAACCATGTTAGTCAGTAAAGCAGAACCAGAGTTAAGACTCGAATCATTGTTACCGTCATGTTGACTTATTACCCTTTCATTATTCATAGAATTCAGATTGATATTTTCAACAGACTCCTTTCCAAATTCGCATGACTTTCTTCGTTCTTTCAAAAGTAATGAAAATTGGAGAGTATCAAAAGTTACGTTATTTATTGATATAGAACCAGAGTTTTCAGAGTCTCCGCTTCTGAATAAAGCAGAACTAGGGTCTTGGCTCGCATCGTTGCAACCGTGACGTCGACTTATTAACTTTTCATTATTCATTGAATGCAGATTCGTATTTTCAACCGAGTCCATTCCAAACTCTCTTAGCTTGATTCGTTCTGTCAGAAGTGATGGAAAATGGTGATCATCAGAAGGCATGTCATTTAGTGGAATACAACAGGAGTTTTCAGAACCTCCGTTATTTAATAAAGCAGAACCAGGCTCTATGCTTATATTTTTGAAATCGGAATGTCGACTAACTACCCGTTCACTGTTTAAAGTATACTGACTGATATTTTCAACTGAGTTTATTCCTAATTGTTTTGTCTCGCTTCGTTCTGTCAAAAGAAATGGAAGAGTATCAGAAGCTACCTTGTTTAATGAAATAGAATTTTCAGAACCCCCCTTTTTTAATAAAGCAGAAGAATCTAAGTTAAGGCTCATATCATTGCAACCGCGAAGTCTACTTATTACCTTTTCATTCATCATAGAATCCTGATTGAAATTTTTAACCGAGTCCATTTCTAATTTTTTTGAATTGCTTCGTTCTGTCAAAACTAATGGAAGATATTCAGAAGCTACGTTATTTAAAGGAATAGAACCAGAGTTTTCAGACTCTACGTTATCAAATAAAGCAGAACCAGGTTCTAGTCTTATATTTTTGAGATTGTGCTGCCGACTAAGTACGCTCCTATTATTTACGGAATGCTGTTTGGTATTTTCAACTGATTCCAATCCTAGCTTTCTCAGCTTATCTCGTTCTTCCCAAAGAAATGATGAGGGGTTATTTGCATATGAAAAATTCTTCACGTTAAATTTACCCTCTTGCTTACTTGTTTCTATATATATTTCTCCCTTTACAGAGTCTGATTTAGGATTAATTAGCTTCATATCGCTTGAAAAGGCGTCACTAGCTTCCACTGACTCTTGTTTATCAAAGTATGATGCTATTTCAACATTTATTGCACCGAATATATTTTCTGTTACGTCTGCACCATGTTCATTACTTATGCTTGCCTTCGAAGTCGTATTGCTGAAGCTATTACAAATAAATCTAGAACCATCGAGCAAATGAACAACATTTCGAATTTTTCTCGATGTCTCATTTTTTCGCAAATTCTCATAGTGTTCAATACAGCGCGGGCAAATGAAAAAGTTAGAAAAAGTTTCTGGAGATTCGGGTAACTTCATGCAGTATTTATCTGAAAATCTTACAGCATGTGAACTAGAAGGAAAAGCATGACCAGACTCAATATTCGGATCTAAATTCAATTGGTTGTTTGAAGGTGTAATCTGTTTTTCTACGGACAATGTCTTGCTTTTGACTTCTTTGGCATTACGCGAATCTCCATTGGGGAATTCTGTTTTGGAATACGTAGTCCCTGAACTCATTGTGTTATCATGAAGTTTGGATGATGATGGTTGGTTGCCACCCTTTAAATTTATTGCAGGCAAATTTGATGTTCCAACATCAGTTTCAGGATGAGAAACAATATTTTGTTCACTTTTTGAAGAAATATCGCTACTTTGCCTTTCAGTAAGTGTACACCTACGCAGCTGTTCCTGAAATATTTGCCAATTTTGAGAAAAATATTCTTTGAAAGTATTTTGGAAGGTTTTTAAAAGTAAATGAGGGAACATTTCACTGGGTTCATATATAATTTTTTCCGAACCAAAATTATCTTGAGTTTTTAACCGAGATGTGGGGTATGAAACTGCTTGTGCAGATTTTTCAATCGGACACAAATTTTCATCTCTTTTAAATGATAAATGTTTGTTTTTATCATAGATATCATCTTCAAAGTACATAGTTCGATTCGCCTCTAAATGAGTTTCATAACTATTAGAAGAAACATCTTCCAAAATTAATTCAGACTTGCCAGTCTTTCTCTCTCCTCCATTTACAGTACATGGGGAAGAAGAATTACCGTTTTCTGGTATTTTCACAAATTGCACTTTTAATTTATCATTTTCTGTCTTTTCACCATCTACTCCTGTTGTAGAAACAAAGTTATCGTGCGAATATAGATTTGTTGGTGATACATACCTAGTTGCTGATGCACCAATTGGTTCATTTACAGTGCATTTTGATAATACCTCATTCGCAAAAAGTTCGTCAGTTTCTGTTTCTTGCGTCATTTCCGAAGTTGAATCAGGCTCATTAGCCTTAATTTCTTTCCCATCAACTTTTGATAATGAAACAGAGATATGAATAAAATTATCGTTAGAAGCTATAGTTTCACCTGGCCATACACTACCTGGTTCATTTTCTATGTCATTGGCCCCCGATTGCATTTCATTAACATTAAAGGAAAGTTCGTTTGCATCCACTACCATGTCTAGTGTTAAAGATGGATCACATTTATCAGTCTTAGTTTCTTCTCTACCAACTTCAGAAAAGGCACTAGAATTATGATCAAAATTATCATTAGAATGAATAAAATCACTTTGTAATAATACACCAACTGGATCATTTTCTATATCATTGGCCCCCGATTGCATTTCATTAACATTTAAGGAAAGTTCGTTTGCATTCACAACTATGTCTAGTGTTCGCAAAGATGGATCACATTTATCAGTCTTTGTTTCATCTCTACCAATTTCAGAAAAGGCACTAGAATTATGATCAAAATTATCATTAGAATGAAAAGAATCACTTTGTGATAATACATCAACTGGTTCATTTTCTATGTCATTGGCCTCCGATTGCATTTCATTAACATTTAAGGATAGTTCGTTTGCATCCACAACCATGTCTAGTGTTCGTAAAGATGGATCACATTTATCAGTCTTTGTTTCATCTCTACCTACTTCAGAAAAGGAACGAGAATTATGATCAAAATTATCACTAGAATGAAAATAATCACTTTGTAATAATACATCAACTGGTTCATTTTCTATATCATTGGCCTTCGATTGCATTTCATTAACATTTGAGAAAAGTTCGTTTGGACCCACAACCATGCCTTGTCTTAGAAAAGAGAAATCGCATTTATCAGTCTTAGTTTCTTTCTTATCTACTCCAGAAATTGCACCACAATTTTGACCAAAATTATTATTATAATTCATAGATTTACTTAGTTTTACATTTGCAGATTCATTTTCTATGTCAGTGGCATCTAATTGAATTTTATTGGCATTTGAGGAAATTTTGTTTGATATTACTTCCATCTCTTGTGTTTTAAAAAGTGAATCACATTTATCAGTCTTTGTTTCTGTGCCATCTACTCCAGATAGGGAAGCTAAATTAAGGTCGAGATTATCATTAAAATGTTTAGGCTTACTTGTTGATACACCAACTGATTCATTTAGAATACCACTAGCCTTTTGACGATTTGAGAGAAATTCGTCCTTTTTCGCTACCTTGTTTCCTGTAAGCAAAGAGGAATCACAAATTTCATTCGTCTTTTCCTCATCTTCTTCAGGCACTGTAACACAATTGTGATCAAAATTGTAATCAGAAACCGTTATTTCTCTCGATGGTGTATAAATTGATTTATTTATAGTGTCATTGCTTACCGATTGAACTTTATTACTACTTGAAGAAATTACGTCATCTTTATCTATCGTATGTTGTGTTTCCAAATATGAATCATTGATATCTGCATTCCCATCAAACATGCAAACGTAATTAGGCTCAAAATTACCTTGCAAATTCATATTTTCATTTGCTTTTATAAAGAGATGATTGAATTCATCACGATTTGATGAGAGTTCGTCTCTTTCCACTACAAAGCCTTTAGTTTCCGAAGTTGATTCAGATTTATTATTGTTTGACATTTGCCCATCTACTTCACACATCGAAACAGGATCAAAATTATTCTGGGGATGCATAGTCTCGTTTGGGGGTTGAGTGTGTGTTGCCTCCAACTGAATTTCATGAGCATCCGGGAAAAAGTGATTTGTCCCTGTCGGGATATTTCGAGTTTTAAAATGTAATACAGTCACCATATCTTCTTCCGATTCGGAACTAGAACTGTATTCTTCAAGATTCGGAGAAAAGACACATGTTTCAATTTGTGTTTTTGAAATGATTTCCGATTCATCCGAATATTTTCTTTCTCCTTCTATTTCATGTTTTTGACAAAATTGTGCATCAGAATTTCTAGCCTCTTCCTGTGATGTATAACAAGTCACATTTTCATTGCACATTTGAAACTCATTCCCTTGTTCTGCAGCTGAAGTCGTTGTTTCGGACAATGTACTTAAGTTGTTATCCTTGTTATTTCCTTCTAAGTTTCGATTCAAATTTTGTTGACTATTTTCAGAGTTGCAGAATAGAGTTTCATAAGTAACTAATTTTGTCCACTTAGTTTTCTTTCCTTTCTTTTTGGTAGTTAGACTTGTTTTTCCCGATGGATTTTCATATCTATCTACAGATTCATTATTTTGATCACGTTGCGTAATTACATCATTGGTTTTACCGGAATCAACTCGAAAGGAATCACAAAACTTGTCTACGGAATTTCGGCCCGGAATATTTCGTCCTGCTTTTGAAGCACCATCTGGATTACTATCACTCTTAGGACAGGTTTCTTCCGTTACTTGTCGATATTCCGAAAATTTATTTTCCTGATCTATCTCTTTTTTAGATATATTGGCTGCCAAACGTTTTCTACCAGAACGTGTTCTACCAGAACGTGTTCTACTAGAACGATTTCTATCATTCGGCATTTTTGCATTCAAGTTCGTTATTTCACCAAAAAAGACATTTACGTACTTAAACCTCTGACTTTGTCCGGATTCGTAATCCCGATATTTATGTTTTAAGTGATTTTTAATATATTTTATTTTACACTTCTTCCTATTCTTCAATTTTGGCGAGTTGCACAATTCACTGTACTGATGTGATTGCCTAAAAAAGATAAGTTAAAGGAATCACTCGTACAGATTAAAATTAACGTTACATTAAAATTTTCTACGTATAAGCCATTGAAAAAAAGAAAAGAAAAAAAAACCATCTAGCGTTGAGCCTCTGGGTAAAATTATACGGAAATTTACATGCTCTGGGCACTACTACCAAATAACATGGAGAAATTGTTTTTTTGATGCAGGAAAAAGCTTGCATGAAAATGAGACTTTTTTCTTAATACTTTAAGATATAAGAATAAAATAATAATAATAAATTACTAAAAAATAATAATAAAAATTACTTTTATAATAATAGTTTAAAATAGATAGTTTAACAATACTATAAATTTTTAGCAATAATTAAAAAATAGTTATTTAAAATTTAAAAAAGACGTTTGAAAAAGCTTGCATGATTACATGAATAAAATTATTTTTTTGACCAATATGATTTATAAAAAATACTGAGCTCTATGCAATGCATATTTTGAAAATTGCTTATTATAATAAATGATTTTAACGAAAGTCATAAGAACAGAAGATAAAATAAAATCAGCATATTTCAAAGATTCTTTTTCTAAAAGTCTTAATTTTGAAGAGAAAAAAATGATTTTAATTGTCTATCATACTGAAAATCTTTTTTATTGGGAATATTTTTTGAAGCTGCGGCGTTTTTACATTTTTATAAATAGTTTTAAATAAACATTCAACTTTCTTGAGAAAAAAATCAATAAAAACATAGCTTATGCAATTAATCTAAGTCTTTATTAAAAACATTTAACTGAAAATATAAGAGCAGATTTTAATGTTTTATAATATTGACTAGCAGCTTAATTAATTTGGTCCTACTCCTACAAAAGTGGATCTTCATTAAAAGTCTCTACCCTCGCCATGTGGTAATTTTGGTTAAATTTTCAATTTGCGTTTTCTTAATATTTTTTGTACTTAGCTTTTGATGATATTGTAATTAATTCGACAGCACGATACTTTTCAAAAAGATGGAAAATAAAGGGGTCGCTCCCAGGTCTAAAGGGGCTAGTTCACTTAGCTCTTAGAGCTGAAGCTACGATTTCCCTCCTCATGACGTCAGTGTGTCCATAGATCTTGGAGATCACAAGCAAAGATATTATGATAACTTTGTATCTTTCTCTTTGTAAAAATAAGTTAGACTTTTTCTGGTTATTAGCTTTCAAACTTCACGTAATTAACACATTATTTCTGTTCATAAACATAGTTCAAAAAAACTTTCTTGGCCATTATATAAAAAAATACCATTTTAAACTTATAAAAATGTTTAACTAGTTGGCGAAATGACACTATAAATACTTTATTTTAAAAAGTTCAGTTTCAACTTTAATTATTAAGAAAAATGGAAGCATATATCAACACTTTTTTTATCAACATATTCTTTTATAACAATAAGTTGAGTTAAATTTAGAATCCCTGATTTTAAAATAAGTCGTTAATAGATCTTTTTGAGAA